CGAAACCAGGCCTGTGAATGCTTTGAACGATGTTTTGGGTCGTTGTCCTGCTGGAAAATCCAAAAATTTCCATAGAACACGTGAGCAGATGGAAGTAAATGTCCCTCGAGCATATATGTGTACCGCTCACTGTTCATATTCCCTTCAAATACACAGAGGGGCGTTGCCCCTAACACAGATATGCCACCCCACACGTTAAATTTCGGACTGTACTTTTGACGCTGATACAAAGGTTTTTCAGTTTGTTGGTCCAGAATTTTAGTGTATTAGAAAACAGCCACACAGAACTTTCATCTGAGAAAATCATATTGTCCCAGTCAAAGTTTATATGCTGTAAGCACCAGTTCAACCGTCGCTCCTTTTGTTCAGGTTTCATGATCGGTGATGGAATTCCTCGACTTTTCTGCCAACCCATTGCATGCAGCTCAGTTCTAATTGTCTCCTTACAGACAGCCACAGTTCCTCTATCAATCATATCCAGCCTTAGGTTTTCTAAACTCCTTTGTTTGTTTTTAGAAACAAGAATACTAAGCCGCCTCCTGTCACCGAAAGGAAATTTTCTGGGCCTACCTGCGCCTCCCTGGTGCTCAATGCCATATCACATTTGCAATATTTTTCAAAACACGATAAACAGTGGACAAAGGGATGCCTGTTCTACTTGAAATCACTTTAGCTGATCTGATGTCCTTGTTATAATACTCTAAAATCAACTTCCTCTTCTCTAAATCATCCATACTGAGGATCACTGAAAATGTCGTCTGCTAGCAAGTAAACAAAGGGGGATAACTCTTCACAAACTAGTGAAAAAGGATTAACGGAGTAGTCTCTCTTGAATGAAACCAAGCTCTTGATAGCTGGTCAAGGTTGTTTATACTAGAAATCCAATTAAACATATTCCTAAAATACTCAATAATTTCTGGTCATACTATACAATGGTTGTCATGAATGAACACATTCCATGTTTAATATTTTGTTGGGTGTGTCTGGTTTGTAGGAAAAGTACTCTTTGTCAATTGGTGATTTGGAAAAAGTATTCTTACATGTCTGTTAATACTTATTTCGGTTATTCTGTAATTTTCACAAAAGTATTTGGAACAACTGTATTTAATCTGGAGGTTTTGTATTGACGTATTAGCCTCGGAATTTGAAAAACCTATTGGGATATCCTGGGCAGTCTTGCTGACTGATCACAAGTCTTCTGTAGATCCAGTTTCTATGCTCAGACTCCTACAGTTGGTACAATGTCAGTTCTGACTGCAAGCATGCGGCAGTATATCATTCCTGCTTGTGGTTTGTGTCAACACTGTGGGCATTGGTGTACGCCGGAGTGAGTGATATTCCAGCTGAAAGAATCTTGGGCGTCATGCGACATTTCCTTTGACATTCATTTTACGTTTAACGTCTACCAGAAACACTGTGTTCTACTCTACAGTGAACGAATAACAAGTTTACACGCAATGCAAAATATAAATGAACTTGTGCAGGTATAATGTGTGCAGCGTTCCATTTGTTGACCCGTGAAGATCCGGGTTAGACGTGGTCAGGCCCGCTGACTTGGTTGACTCGTCATCGTATCCCAGTTGTGTAGATCGATGGTCATGCTGTTGATCACTGTCTGGTCCATACTCGATTATTTACTGCTGGAATATTGCTGAATGCGGCGTAAAATTAAACTCACTCACTCCATTTGTTGATGGCAAATCTAGACATTAATTCAAGTGCGTCCCTCAGTTCCGCAGATGGGTGCGCCTTAAAGGTAATAGTGATTAGTGTTGATTATATATGTTATTCACTGTGTTAAAGCCACCCTTGGTTCTTCGGTCCAACCCCATCCAGAAAGATAGGTGGTGGGTGAAACAAATACATGAAACAATACCTTCACAGACTGGGTAACTTGTGTGACATTATATAATTTGGAACACTTTGTAATAGTCTTTAAACCACTTCATAACGCATATCGAGTCGTTTTAGATTGAAAACGAATTTTGAATAAATATGGCCGACGAAAGATCAAGTTGGCATTTTTCTTGTGCGTGTATTTAGCATGTAATAGCCAAGGTAAGGTCGCCACGGTTGGGCATGAACGTCTACAACTGCCCAGAAAAACGAGATTGGGGTAAAACTCCACGGCTCGCGAGATAAACACAACATATGGACAGCTTCTTGTAGAGTTGAACATCGTCTTTGTTTCAAAACAATGTAATTACACAATCATTTTAAATGACTAATTTTTCCGCTGACAAAAGTTCCTTCCGTCAGACGTAAATAAGCTCTTCCATGGATTAGAAAACAATAATTATTGTTTACGTGTGAGAATGAACATCTCATGCTGGACGCCCTGACCTGATAACTGGATGGTGTTTTACTGATATCGGATTAGGCTCAGGTGATGTATGGGAGCCGGCTAATCCTTCATCATGGGCAGGTGTTGTGATTATTACTGCCGTTTCCGGAAAATATGCTGCAGATGTGTTTACATTTCCTCATTCCGTCGGTCGCCACGCGGGAGGAGCGAAAGCCTTTAGGCACAGAGACAACTCAACTGGATGCTTGAAACACCGAAACTGAAAGGCATCGAACGAAAATAGACAGGTCACACACCCTCGACAACTTCGCCAAACAACTGTGAATTTCCAGACCTAAACGCCTAACTCTCCAACCATCTGCAACATGCTCATTCTTCCAATTATAGTGAAGATGATACACTGATGCAGCTGGTTGGCAGGACCCGAACTGTGTCGGCACGGGCATGCTAAAGGCGGGATACTTCCGACGCCGATCAACTTTTTCTTGTCGAGTTATGGCTTTAACAAGGCGTGGACAAATCCCTCTAGTCTAAAATATGATCTGTAATATGGTGTGTGCATTTGTTACCTGATCACACGCGGAGTAGGATGCCTTACGAAGCCGGTGAGTTGTAACTGCGGCAAGCCATGGGCAGATCGTGTCATGTTTATAAACCAAACTTCCAAAACTACGCAAACTAGTGGTAGGCCTTGGTAGTGTTTGGTCATGGAATGGTCAGCTGTTTATGTAGAGGTAGGTGTTGTGTTCCTGTCTAGTGGAGGTGTAGGGTTGTAGAAGTGTTTCTTGTTCCTGTCTGGGGAAGGGTGTGGGGTATATTGTTGGTTCATCATATAGATGTTCTGGTCCTGTAGTGTATGTTCAGTACCTCCTGCAGTATACCCAGTGCATAACCGTGTCGAGGTGTACCAATCTGCCTACTGTCATTCCTTCAGGGAAACTCCGCTTTCAGTTGATATTTGATGTTAAGCCCCTGTTCTGTGTTCTCACCGCGTAATACGTCAGAGGATACAACACATGCCGTCACGATGTATCAAACATGGCTATATGCCTGGGCCTAGATTTTCGAAGCTCTCTTAGCGCTAAGATAGTCGTAAGTGCCATACATTAACATTAACTTACGACTACCCTAAGCGCTAAGAGAGCTTAAAACAATCTCGGACCTGATCTCATGACTGTAACCCTATTGTGTCTGTCTGCTAGGCCCTTATCTCATGACTGTAACCCTATTGTGTCTGTCTGTTAGGCCCTTATCTCATGACTGTAACCCTATTGTGTCTGTCTGCTAGGCCCTGATCTCATGACTGTGACCCTATTGTGTCTGTCTGTTAGGCCCTTATCTCATGACTGTAACCCTATTGTGTCTGTCTGCTGGGTCCTGATCTCATGACTGTGACCCTATTGTGTCTGTCTGCTAGGCCCTGATCTCATGACTGTGACCCTATTGTGTCTGTCTGCTAGGCCCTGATCTCATGACTGTGACCCTATTGTGTCTGTCTGTTAGGCCCTTATCTCATGACTGTAACCCTATTGTGTCTGTCTGTTAGGCCCTTATCTCATGACTGTGACCCTATTGTGTCTGTCTGCTAGGCCCTTATCTCATGACTGTGACCCTATTGTGTCTGTCTGTTAGGGCCCTGATCTCATGACTGTAACCCTATTGTGTCTGTCTGCTAGGCCCTTATCTCATGACTGTGACCCTATTGTGTCTGTCTGCTAGGCCCTGATCTCATGACTGTAACCCTATTGTGTCTGTCTGTTAGGCCCTTTTCTCATGACTGTGACCCTATTGTGTCTGTCTGTTAGGCCCTTATCTCATGACTGTGACCCTATTGTGTCTGTCTATTATGCCCTTATCTCATGACTGTGACCCTATTGTGTCTGTCTGTTAGGCCCTGATCTCATGACTGTAACCCTATTGTGTCTGTCTGCTAGGCCCTTATCTCATGACTGTGACCCTATTGTGTCTGTCTGCTAGGCCCTTATCTCATGACTGTGACCCTATTGTGTCCGTCTGTTAGGCCCTTATCTCATGACTGTGACCCTATTGTGTCTGTCTGCTAGGCCCTTATCTCATGACTGTGACCCTATTGTGTCTGTCTGCTAGGCCCTGATCTCGTGACTGTGAACCTATTGTGTCTGTCTACTGTGTAACTTGCTAGGAAACACAGACTATGGGTGCAGGGCAGATAGGGTACCAAGTACGTATGTCCTTGTCAGCGGTGACCAAACGTAGCTCCAACGTCAGACTTGTATCTGTGTGTCATGGCACATGCTGTCAGAGAATCTCACAAAACCCGTTCATCCTTTTGCACATGGTGTACACACATGGTGTGTATCTGATATCAGTATATCGCTGTACACATACGCATGGTGTGTATCTGATATCGGTATATCGTTGTACACACATGACGTGTGTCGTATATCGGCATAGCGTTGTACACACATTGTATGTATCAGATATCGGTATACCGTTACCGTTTCAACTACATTCGGATAACAGTTACTGACGCTGGTACCAGTGACTTAAAGTCTGTTGTTGCACAGTCACACAAAAATTGCCACATCAAACAAAATACAGTGAGACAAACTAAGGACATTGGTTGAAGTAGTGGGCTTAGTCCTGACTGTCGTTCTACGAGCTGTTGGTCTCAAATATTCACCAAGACCTGTACGTTGTGATGTTTTCCTTGCAGAGTGTGACGTCCTCGCCGCTCCCAATGACGATTACATGATACTCAGCAACTACAACGTCACTGCGGGTTCCTACGTCGTGGTTGGCTGCAGGAAGTTCGGACACCGTGTGGTTGGTCCATCCAATGTCACGTGTCTCCCAACAGGGGCGTGGTCGGATGCCGTGAAACCAGAATGTAGTTGTAAGTATCCCTGGAATGTAATTTTGATTAATTTGAATATTATGACCATAATTCATCAATTTCTCGATTATTTCCTGACTATTCGTCAGACTGAACCTAGTCATTACGACATTGTACGTGAAAAGGAACTGATAATACGGGGAAAATGAAGAAGTGCACGCGCGCACACACACACACACACGTCATGTCAGAAGCGCAGCCGAATACTTCTGCCCTGCACAATTCTCTGCTGTTAACCCTCATGTTTAACTCTCATGTTTAACTGGATCACGACCTAAATCACCTGAACGCTATAGAAGATTAAATAACAACCATTTAGGATTGGTGGCTAAAGGTCTTCCCATAAACTGAAGTATTTATTTGGGGGCCTAGTTCTACTCTAGGTGTATTTTTTTATGTATTTAGAACTGTCTACCTTTTTTTACACAATTAAATATTTTTTGTACACTGTCTCAAACTAAAGCCTTAAGAAATTAATCACCAGCTTCTAATCCACCGAACTTTAGCATTTAGCTATTTTCTCGTATATCTACCGGTAATTTCTTTACGAAATCTGTAAAATAATATCTGAAAGTCAGACAGGTATGTTCCAGTAACAGGCCTCCGGCACTGGATACAAACGTTAATGATATGTTTCCTTGGGCAAAATCATTTATCTAGTTTCGGTGACTTACAATATTTCTGACATGATATAAGTATATAGCAACAGGCCTGATAGTATCAGTGATAGTATCAGGGTTATTGTTCGGAATTATAGTTACGCAAGTGTTACCAGTTGTTTCTTAGTGTTGAGTAAGATTCACAAATAAAAACATGGACTTAACCCATCAGGCTTCTATACACAGCCTTTGAGTGTTTCAATGTTATCATAGCGAACAGTTTCAACTGCTATTTTAAAGTTACTATATCTAAATCGTGAAAGGGTTTATGTGACCTTTAAATGGAAAGGAAGATCATGAGATGGGTACTTTACAACATCAAGGGGTGATTTGAACTGTTTATGATAAACAAGTTTCGAAGATTCATTAACAGAGTAATGCCATGACTCTAGTAATGTATCAGACAGTCTTTCTTTAAACACATGGATAAACATATTTACATCACCAACATCTTGGCTTAACCAGATCTAGACAAACCATAAGAAATAGTCTTTGTTATCCATATGTTGTGTGTCCACTGTTGTCTGGAACTTAGGCATTGTGTAACTTTGATATGGTAGTCTGTAATGTGGAAGCTGACTTAGTCTGCACCAACATTTGACAACACCTGTCATGTACATTAGCTGTAAAGGGAATCTGACACATTCGCCCAGAGCTATAACATTACAAAATGATTTGATGTTTTTAAGAATCTCTTTACAAAATTCGACTTGCACAGATTCTATATATAATTTTAAAATAAGAGGTACGTCATATCTCCGAGGCATTGCATAAAATAGGTGTTAAAATCATATCTGAAACTATTATCTCACCGGAATAATATATTCGCATGTCGTGCTGTTTTAGTTGCTGCTTTTACGAAGAATATTTTAACATATTACTAACCAAATGTGTAAAACTTGGATGTGTTTTGGAACAGTCTGACAAGAGTAACCGCCGAAGCTGTAGTTAATTCGAACGCGAAGCGAAAACACCTTTCTCTGTCAACTAACGGTCGTTTGAAGACGCGTCATAGCCTTCATCTAGGCGTGGTTGCTGCCACTATATTCGTTAGTTAGTCTCTAAATGTATATAATTGTATGAGAAACAGACAATTCCATTTAGCTTGAAAGGGAGTCCCAGTGAGAAGGGAGAGTCATGAACCAGAGGAAATCTAGAGACTTGCTTCATTTAGGGTTTTATAATTGATATTGCGAACAGGACTAGGCAGTAGCACAGGCCCTCGTGTCTTTGCGAGGATTAAAGATTTTATAAAATATATACTAAAATTTGAGATGACCCCCGACTCGAAATGCTTCACAGCATAAGACATTATGACAAGGCCGGACACTTGGGTGCACCCTACCCGACTGCTTTGCCGATCGCTACGCTACCATCGCATACAATCGATTAAAACTTAATGTAAACATAATCATGGATGATTGGCCTATCGAGCACTCATGACACCTACCAATTCTTTATTGTTATTTCTGCAAGTCGATAGAAACCCGATTTTGACTCTCAACTAAACGATCTTGACACAAATGGATGACGATATATCCGCACAAAACGTGGGTGTGGTCGAAAAGAGACATAACCATTTTCTTTGAAATCTGAGTGATCTTCACCAAAGATATATTTTTCCAAATGGTAGTGATGTTTTATGAAATAGAAAAGTTGATCGACATTCAATTCCGCAGAGGTATATCTTGTTTCATTGATGTTTTGCTTGGTAAATAATCCAAATGTGGTTTACTAATACACTTGCCTCAGGGTCCCCCAGTAAATACTTTGTGATATCAAGATTGAGGCGAATGCCAGTCTTCAAATTGTTCCAGTTTGCAAACTGAGAGAGATGTTTAGTTTTCTCACATAAAAAGAATAAGTGCTCGAGTGTTTCTATTTCTCTGCCACATAAAGTACAAAGGTAACCCACAAAATAATTCACTAGTCCGAAGTTTGAATGTGGACGCGGGTTTCATCATTGTAAGAAGCTAATATGACGAACATGCTTATGCCACAATCTTGCATGATTTAAAATTGCGTAATCGTCGGAGAGAGTATATATAAATATTTTCAAAATGACCCCATGAAAATTCACTAGCCAGTCGGAGACTGTTGAGATTAAGTGGCCGGACTGGATTTTTACTTTTACTAGCAATGGCCAACTGGCCTGCCCATGACTAGTAAAAGTAAAAATCCAGTCCGGCCACTTAATCTCAACAGTCTCCGACTGGCTAGTGAATTTTCATGGGGTCATTTTGAAAATATTTATATATACTCTCTCCGACGATTACGCAATTTTAAATCATGCAAGATTGTGGCATAAGCATGTTCGTCATATTAGCTTCTTACAATGATGAAACCCGCGTCCACATTCAAACTTCGGACTAGTGAATTATTTTGTGGGTTACCTTTGTACTTTATGTGGCAGAGAAATAGAAACACTCGAGCACTTATTCTTTTTATGTGAGAAAACTAAACATCTCTCTCAGTTTGCAAACTGGAACAATTACTTTTGATAGTTTACCATGAGGTAATAATAATAATTTACACCAATATAATAACATTCTCAATTTGATAGAAATACTAAGTGGATATCTTCCAAGTTCACCGTAAACCATAAAATCTGGGGTGGTTGTTTTACCTTCAGTATGTATTTACAAAAATTCAAATGAAGACGTTCTAATGTGAATCCAGAGTCACTATAAAAGAGTATATATGCATGGTTACAAAATTGTCTTATTTCGATAAGGCTGGCCCAGGAAAGACTGATGTTCAAGTGACTTTCTAAAGTGTTATCTGTGAACTGACAAACATGTGATGTAAAATAATATGGTGCTTGGTCTCATATGTTTGATAGGTACATGTATATAAATTATTGTTTTTGATAATATTCAGAAGTAAATGTGATCTGGCAAATATATGTTGATGTACATATATTTGTTGATGCAATATGTCTTAATTTAAAAATCATAATTCATTACATGAATTAATAAAACTATAGTTAATACCTAATGTTTTATCAGGGTACATACAATTTTTATCAAGGGTACAGCTTAATTAAGCCTTATGCAACCAACCACAAAATGTGTTGTTTTAAGCGATCTGTCTTTTGGGAGGTCTGTCTTATGGGAAGATACCGGGATATCGTGCGGACATAATTAAGTTATAATTATAGACGCTAATTAATAAAGATTGTATTTAAACTGTCAGAAACTGCGAAACACAGAAGCGAATCTGGTTCCAACTAAACAGTATAATTGGCCTGTGCTGAATCCAGCGTCTTTTCTTTATTATTCATTTACAGTACTTATACTTTAGTGATCGATCTTCATCAGAAACATATTGAATACTTCATTCGGCACTCATGTTTGACTATTATAATTGTGTTATGTTGAAAAGTAAATAACGCAATCATTATAACAGACGGTTCTGATATCTCTACATCGGATAGTCTTTGTTAATTTCACTCTATAAATAACATGTGACAATATAATACAGGGTGTCTAATAAGAAATAAAGTAAACATTCGACATCCGCATATATATTTATAATTCTTTTGACGGATGAGAACAAATATATGTCAAGATATTCGAAGTAATGAATTCTTCAACACGTTATGAAAGTTGTGTTTTTGAAACAAAATGTTCATAAATGACAATTTATAATACATTATTAATCTTCGTGCAACAATAGTTGGTCCTAGCTCCGTGACACAAATATAAATTTAGATCCAACATAGATGTGTACTGCAGCACAGACCACGGCCCACGCAAGTCTGGCACGTCGTTCTGTACAGTATTATATTTCAGTTAAATAATTTAATAACTGTGATTTTGTGAAAATGGTATTCGATTCAGAGACTTCAGAAGTGCGTTTGTGAGTTCCTTTCCCACAAACAACAATCGCGCGTACAGCTCAAAACCGGTCTATTTTTACCCTTAGCCGCAGCCCGCATAGTATGAATACATAGCAAACAATCGCTCAGCAATCTTGTGGTCGTCGTGGCCGAGTGGTTAAGGCGATAGACTAGAAATCTATTGGGATCTTCCCGCGCAGGTTCGAATCCTGCCGACGACGCAATTCTTTTTTCTAATCGTATTTTGCGACTTTCACAAATATTAGAAACGACTGACCATAGAATTAACAGGATGCAATTAATTTGTTTTCCAGAAATATTTTGCAACCTTCACAAATATTAGAAACAACGGACCACAGGATAAAGAGTCTGCATTTACAATTATGGAAAAGTATATGACCTGCATATTTATTTCTCTAACTGTTTACACGTTTTTACACGAAGATGTTAACATGTGCGGTACATAAGACACAGCTGGGCATTTGTATCGAGTGTTATACATGTATACATATCAGTATCTGTCAGTCACCGAGCCGCGATGGATAAAGCTGAATCAATGTCACTAGTGAATAGGGGTGGGTATTGCACAGAATTTTCATATTGCGATATATTGCGATGCGAAAGCATGTATTGCGATATGTATTGCAATATATTGCAGGACGTTAATGGTTGATTTATAAAGCAAAAACACAACAAAATCACTATGCCTGATTAAGCCTTAATAAAAACTACTTTACCATTGCATATCTTACATACCGCGTTGCTCTTACCAATAGTTCCATCTACCGTGAACTGTTTCAACCCTAAATGCTGCCTTACCGATGCCTTTGCCCTAGTATTTGGCACCACAATAAATTGTTCGTTGTTGGGGGTCACCATTTTACAACACACGCATGGCTTCCGGTGTAAAAGACGGAAATATCCGAAGATTTTCGAGTGTTACCAAGTTTTCCGAATGCATGTCAAAATACCGGTTTTCGATCAACGTGTCGCAATACGTATCGTTTTCATGTCTGAACCGGTATATACCGGTAAACCGGTTATATTGCGCAGCCCTACTATTGAACCATAAAAACTTCAGATTGTGTCACAAATTTTCCAAAAATCGTATTCTCAAAATCCATAAGGTCTCAAGAAGTGAACATTTTGTGATCTGCAATAAAACACTGGTACAAAGCTTCAATTATTAGCGCTGGACGGTGTAAGCATTAATTGTATTAAAGATAATTTCTTCTTTTTTTCTTGTCTTCTTTTATCTAACCACAACTCGGACCTGACTCTGATGGTGTTCATTTCACACCAGCATTAACTAAACACCCCGTGAATCCAAGAGTACAGTCCGTTTGGGTTCAAATGAGAAGAATGAATGATTAAATAACTCGAAATAGGGATAAGTGTACAAAACATAAATAAGACACATGGTCCTGAAACCTCTGTACCCAACGGGATCTGAAATAAGACGTTTTATGATCGATCACGGAAGAAGTTGTTTAAGAAACTATCATGTAACATTGTTCTATTTTCACGCTTCACACCGAGGGGTGAGAAACCGCTGGTGGAACAGCACTGGCTGTTTCTAACTTTAGTCCGTTTGGCTCAAAAGCGGACCGATGAATTGCAATCTAACTCGAAAACTAATAAACATAACATACTCAATGAAACGCTGATCATAATTAAAACATCATACCCACTCTGTGAGGTTTTTGCAGAATTTTTGTCCTAAAAATAATAAAGTTGTTTAACAAACTATCATTAAAATATTGACACAGTTCACTGTTTGTTACGAGGGAGGAGTGCAGAGAAAGGGACAGCCAGGTGTTCGAGAACGGATGGAGCCGGCACAGCACAGGTTAATGAATAAATAACTTTGGCTGTGAACGTGCTTCGCGAACACCTGGCTGTCCCTTTCTCTGCACTCCTCCCTCGTAACAAACAGTGAACTGTGTCAATATTTTAATGATAGTTTGTTAAACAACTTTATTATTTTTAGGACAAAAATTCTGCAAATTCATGATATTTTGATTATGATCAGCGTTTCATTGAGTAGGTTATGTTCATTGAGTTTTCGAGTTAGATTGCAATTCATCGGTCCGCTTTTGAGCCAAACGGACTATAGTTGGGGCTGTCCTGAGTTGTACCTGAAGTGCGTGCAGGCGCTGTTCCACCAGCCGTTTGTCACTTATTGTGCACTTATCCCTGTTTCGAGTTATTTAATCATTCATCGTTCTCATTTGAACCCAAACGGACTACACATAATATTTACCATTTGGGTCCAAACAGACGATCATAATCAAGCATACTGGAATGCACGTATTCCGCACATGCTTCACACAATATCTCAAAAGCTGAGGGTCAAACGTTTACGTGCTCTAAACATACAGGGTATATACATTTCACAATTGCAGTATGTGCTCCACAGTTTCTTGAACAGTTTTCATCATTTGTGGACTGCGTGGAAATGGGATTGGTCTCGTTGTCATGGTGACCATTCTTTCCAGCTTTGCTGGTGTTTACGTTCTTGTGTATTCTTCTCAGATTGCATGTTCATTGTTATCAAAATTCAAATTCAGTTTTCTTTTTGTTTTGTTCAGAAATACCACCTGTATTAGCGTGATATGGCACGGTAAATATTGAAATGGCACGGATAGAAAATGTTCTCGGTGCCCTCATGGCACGCTTATTGTTTAGAGACATAACTCACCTTTAGTCATTTAATCCCCAAAACAATACATGTACACAAATGACAAACAAGCAAAAACATTTATTTATTTTATCACCCCGGAACTCACTTGAATTATGATGGATGATGTAATGAAATCTGGTTGTTTTTCCATTTAGAGTGATGGGAGTACTGATAGTTCGGTTATTGAAGAGGAAATTGTGTATGTTAGATATACTGAACAAGCGAACCTGTCACAAAATTCTTAGCTAGTAAAGTGAGTGAGTGAGTTAAGTTTTACGCCGCACTCAGCAATATTCCAGCCATATGGCGGCGGTCTGTAAATAATCGAGCCTGGGCAAGACAATCCAGTGATCAACAGCATGAGCATCGATCTGCGCAACTGGGAACCGATGACTTAGCTATTAAAGGTGTTGGGAAAGCAGAACAAATGAAGCTTAAGAAAGCTTAAACAGGAGACATATCAGTGATAACAGAAAACAGGCTACATTTGTTGTTTACTAACAATAAATTTCAAATGATCATTATCATTGCTACCGTCATTTATTCTAAAATATGTGGGCACATTTGATTTCTGAAAGGCACATTTAAAATATTTGCCTGGTGCACACTTAGAAAAAAACCCAGTATTTCTATCCCAGGAGTAAAATTGGTTTCAGTCAACATTTTAACACGCGGCATTTGGTTTTCAAATCACATACAACAACATGTAATTTTTTCTAAGTTATCTTGCAAAAGTTGGTGGTGCAATGTAATGTTTATGTATATATATGTCTGTCTGTGACAGGGACGTGGGAGCTGACGACTCACGAGAAGCTCGTGCTAGGGACATCCATCGCTGCCGGGGCTTTTCTCCTTCTCGTTACCATGGCAATCATAATCGCATACTGTTGCTGCTACAGGCGGATGAGGGACAGGGAACATGAGTGAGTATAGAAGTGCTAGGTAGGCTGCTTCACACCGTAGGCCCCTGTGGCACAGTTGACACAGGAGACATGAGTGAGTATAGAAGTGCTAGGTAGGCTACTTCACACTGTAGGCCTGTGTGGCACAGTTAACACAGGAGACATGAGTGAGTATAGAAGTGCTAGGTAGGCTACTTCACACCGTAGGCCTGTGTGGCACAGTTGACACAGGAGACATGAGTGAGTATAGAAGTGCTAGGTAGGCTGCTTCACACCGTAGGCCTGTGTGGCACAGTTAACACAGGAGACATGAGTGAGTATAGAAGTGCTAGGTAGGCTACTTCACACCGTAGGCCTGTGTGGCACAGTTGACACAGGAGACATGAGTGAGTATAGAAGTGCTAGGTAGGCTACTTCACACCGTAGGCCTGTGTGGCACAGTTGACACAGGAGACATGAGTGAGTATAGAAGTGCTAGGTAGGCTGCTTCACACCGTAGGCCTGTGTGGCACAGTTAACACAGGAGACATGAGTGAGTATAGAAGTGCTAGGTAGGCTACTTCACACCGTAGGCCTGTGTCAAAAATTCATGTACATTTTGAGAGTCTAAGATGCATTTTCTCTAGTGTCAAACATAAAAAAAATCTTAGTGTCGGGTCGAATGTTTGGGTCAGGCGATAATGAGAAACAAGAACATGTTTGTATATTGCCTAAACCTGCTCTCACTACACTGCTACTATGACTGACTGTAGAAGTGTTCAGGAGACATGCGTCTCATCAGACGGAGCCTGTATTATTATTCCTCTACAGCGAATGTCCCCCCACCTTTGCTCCGCAAACCCTTCTTAAATGCCGTCTAATATCGTCCTGGCCCCACCCACGGTGCCACCTATGTGTGCCTCATAACGAAGCAATACCATCAGACTCCTTTGTGATTTTGTAGGAACTTCGGGGCCGTGTACGAGGACCGAGTGACGCCGTCCAAGAAGCACAACTACGACCACTACGGACCTCCCATCATCGAGGGAGGACCAGGCATCTACCCCGACGCCTACTACGCCTACCAAGAGTACGTTATGCCCGCTACACAAACACAATCTATGGGTAACGTTAGTAGGCTCGGCCTACCAAGAGTACGTTATGCCCGCTACACAAACACAATCTGTGGGTAACGTTAGTAGGCTCGGCCTACCAAGAGTACGTTATGCCCGCTACACAAACACAATCTGTGGGTAACGTTAGTAGGCTGGGCCTACCAAGAGTACGTCACGCCTGCTACTCAAACACTCTCTGTGGGTAACGTTAGTAGGCTGGGCCTACCAAGAGTACGTCACGTCCGCTACACAAACACAATCTGTGGGAAACGTTAGTAGGCTGGGCCTACCAAGGGTACGTCACGTCCGCTACACAAACACACTCTGTGGGTAACGTTAGTAGGCTGGGCCTACCAAGAGTACGTCACGCCCGCTACACAAACACACTGTGGGTAGCGTTAGTAGGCTGGGCCTACGAAGAGTACGTCACGTCCGCTACACAAACACAATCTGTGGGAAACGTTAATAGGCTGGGCCTACCAAGAGTACGTCATGTCCGCTACACAAACACAATCTGTGGGTAACGTTAGTAGGCTGGGCCTACCAAGAGTACGTCACGTCCGCTACACAAACACAATCTGTGGGAAACGTTAGTAGGCTGGGCCTACCAAGAGTACGTCACGCCCACTACACAAACACACACTGTGGGTAACGTTAGTAGGCTGGGCCTACCAAGAGTACGTCATGTCCGCTACAAAAACACATTCTGTGGGCAACGTAAGTAAGCTGGGCCTACCAAGAGTACGTTATGCCCGCTACACAAACACAATATGTGGATAGCGTTAGTAGGCTCGGCCTACCAAGAGTACGTCACGCCCGCTACACAAACACTCTCTGTGGGTAACGTTAGTAGGCTGGGCCTACCAAGAGTACGTCATGTCCGCTACACCAACACAATCTGTGGGAAACGTTAGTAGGCTCGGCCTACCAAGAGTACGTCATGTCCGCTACACAAACACAATCTGTGGGTAACGTTAGTAGGCTGGGCCTACCAAGAGTACGTCATGTCCGCTACACAAACACACTCTGTGGGTAACGTTAGTAGGCTGGGCCTACCAAGAGTACGTCATGTCCGCTACACAAACACAATCTGTGGGTAACGTTAGTAGGCTGGGCCTACCAAGAGTACGCCACGCCCGCTACACAAGCACACACTGTGGGTAGCGTTAGTAGGCTGGGCCTACCAAGAGTACGTCACGTCCGCTACACAAACACAATCTGTGGGAAACGTTAGTAGGCTCGGCCTACCAAGAGTACGTCATGTCCGCTACACAAACACAATCTGTGGGAAACGTTAGTAGGCTGGGCCTACCAAGAGTACGTCATGTCCTCTACACAAACACACTCTGTGGGCAACGTTAGTAGGCTCGGCCTACCAAGAGTACGTTATGCCCGCTACACAAACACAATATGTGGATAGCGTTAGTATGCTCGGCCTACCAAGAGTACGTCATGTCCGCTACACAAACATACTCTGTGGGTAACGTTAGTAGGCTGGGCCTACAAAGAGTAAGCCATGTCCGCTACACAAACACACAGTCGAGGGGAGACAACTACGACCAACTTTAATAAAAATCATTAAATCATTTTAACGCTCTGTCATATTAACCTACTGCTTTTTTTAATGAATAAGTATTTCATGTTTCAGAAATGGAAGTGATTACTTAAGCTTTTTAATCCGTAACATGAAGCAGAGGTTATTCGATATATGTTTACGTCTATCCAAATAAATATTAATAGTGTTGTCGGGGGTTATGTTAACTAAACGATTCCTTCTAACGATGAAATTACTTATGATGTTTTATTAACTCAAGACAATGTGTTGGGCGCAAATATGCCTCTTATTGGCCCACGTCGCCCTAAAACTGTAAAACCAACCAACCCAAAAATACTGTTGCCCAATACTATTACTACTAGTACTGCTACTATGGACTCGACCTGTAGACGCCTTGTTAAGCTCATCTCCTCTCGACTCCTCCCTTTGTGAGAAACCAGAGGAGATCAAACGCAGTGTCTAAATCATAGATGTAGTCAGATGGCGCACAGTGCCTCAGATAGTGATTCCAGTCACCAGCTGCCAATAGTAACTTGTCCTAGTGTATATTTTGTAGACACGTGAAATTGCAAGGTGAATGTGAATGGTTTGATCACTTGTGCTAACAGTGTTTGTTGTGTTGGTGCAGGTACCCTGAGAACAAGACGTACCCACCCGACATGACGGACGTGTCGGGGCTGGACAGGCCATGGTGAGTCTTTACCAGCTTCATCTACTACTGTACACGTTTGGTATATATGTTCCGCCCCTGTACTGCTTACATGTACCATCAAGATAGCCAGCGGAGTGAGTGAGTGAGTTTAGTTTTACCCCGCTTTTAGCAATATTCCAGCAATATCACGGCGGGGGACACCAGAAATGGGCTTCACACATTGTACCCATGTGGGGAATCGAATCCGGGTCTTCGGCGTGACGAGCGAACGCTTTAACCACTTTGCTACCCCACCGCCGAAGATAGCCAGCGGAAGAAACATAGATCAGTTCACGAATACCGCGTATGAAGTGCTCACCGTCATTTTGTCTTACTAGAATAAAGCATTGGGTACACACAAACAACTTCCTTAATCAGCGACGTGTTGGTTTGCGAGGCGAGGAGGAGTTGCCTCCCTTGATGTATTACGCGAGCGTTGCCTCTTGAATAATGCATGGTAATTTTGACTCATCCCCAATGAATATCATTTCTTAACGTTTGTATTATGTTTGCAGGCTGGGCTACATCCCTCGTCCCAAGGTGGCTGACGGGCGATATTACCACTGACAGTCACCTGTCCACGGAGCAGTAAATCAAACCGTTGTTGCCAGCTGCACATCCAGATCTCGAAAGTGCTTCACTGTGTCGACACGCGATACTCAGTGTTGAGATCGAAGAGCTTGACTTTAGTAGCGAGCCTTAAGCTATGGACGCAATGATTAATGGCAGTGTGTTCAAACTAGATAGTCAGGGTGTGTGGAGGAATGGCCTTGTGACAGGGGCAGCGATAAGTGTGTCTTCCTCCCACACAGGAGGGTATGGAGACGTGACCAACAAAACCGGTAGCGGAGTCGGTGACGTAACTGGCATTGTGTTGAACGAACGTCAGGCAGTGCTGGTGCCATAACAACCCTAAATGTCGATGACGTCTCCCATTACAAGTCATGTTGCCATAGCAACCTGTTAGCCATGTTGCCCGACTCGTAGAGAATTATTTCCATATAGCCACATCTCTACTATGTTTAGCGCCAACCCTCCTAAACATAGGCAGTATATTTTTGTACTCAACGCGTCTTTTTATATCATGTCCAGAAATACTTGTTTGTAGACAGCTGCAGCTAGACTATGTATCCTTTATCACACACGGTGTGTAGGGGTTGTCCAGTAGCGGTGGCCACTGAAGGCGAGACAGGTGGACGAGCTGGCATATACTAATTGGAGACTCGTGGCGGTGACACACGGTATATATAACGCCAGTGCATTAAGGTCAAACAGTTATCATTTCATGACAGTATGTTTTATAATACACATGTACAGAGAAATGTAAATATATCTTTTATTAAAGAAATACATACAAAACTGCCTTGAATGTCCAGAAGTGAGGGGTAAAGCAACCCGGAACCAGTGGCGACTGGAGATCTGTGTGACCAGCATAACATGACCCTTGGACATAATGATTGTACGCATAGAATGAACAGTTACATGGATGGGAACATTGGACTTTAGTATGGTTTTAACAGATACATTACATTACACGGAGAAACAGACAATGGTTGAATGGTGTTTCGTACACACTACACGGAGCAACAGACAATGGTTGAATGGTGTTACGTACACACTACACGGAGCAACAGACAATGGTTGAATGGTGTTACGTACACACTACACGGAGCAACAGACAATGGTTGAATGGTGTTACGTACACATTACACGGAGAAACAGACAATGGTTGAATGGTGTTACGTACACACTACACGGAGCAACAGACAATGGTTGAATGGTGTTACGTACACACTACACGGAGCAACACAATGGTTGAATGGTGTTTCGTACACACTACACGGAGCAACAGACAATGGTTGAATGGTGTTTCGTACACACTACACGGAGCAACAGACAATGGTTGAATGGTGTTACGTACACACTACACGGAGCAACACAATGGTTGAATGGTGTTTCGTACACACTACACGGAGCAACAGACAAGGGTTGAATTGGTGTGTAACGAATACACTAAAATGCAATTTAATACAGCTTCATTGGTGAAACTGAACTGTTCCCATGAGGAGAATACTATATTCGGTGTTGTTGGAGAAAGTGAGTTGTTAATTTACCTTCACATGCCATTACATGGTTTTACACACGGGTGTGTTTGTTTGTTGTTTAACGCCACACTCAGCAATATCCCATCTCTATGGCAGCGAAATGTAAATAATCGAGTCTGGACCAGGAATACAGTGGTCAAAAGCATGAGCATCGATTTACACAATTGACTACCCACGTGACCTACAGGCACTTAAAGGATGACAGACGTTCATATGAAATGTTGACATGCGAAAGAAAGATTAAAGATAGTAAAAGACTTATTAACTCTCCGGATGTTTACGGAATAAGTACTGTAATCAACTTAAGGTTATATCACAACCATATACCTATTTTCCGGGCCAGACAGCCGGTGGTTAAACTGGAGTCTTATATGCGCTAAATCAGACCTGGATTCGCCACCTTGTTTGTCCTTGGTATGACTGGTATTAGGAGACGGAGCTACAGTCTCAGATGAAGAATACCTAATGGTTAGATACACAAGAATGTTCCATGCACCTTGACCAGTCAGTATTCCTCGGTTGTCATCATACGAAGCATCACCTGTGATTGGCCATGCTTTCTTTTATGTCAAAAACGACTGGAAGATACAGTCAGATGCTAACACTTGAACACGAGGGAGATACCGCTTCTGGCGATTTCTTATGAAATATGCACACATCTCCACGCTTACCGTTATATAAAATCACGTGCCATATCTACATATTGCTGCAGGAGGTGACGAACTAATTATATATTTTTTTCCGACAGCAGCATTAAAATTCATGGATTCTCTGCAAGTGTATACTTCTCCACACAGCTCCGCGTTCCGCATACTGGCTTCCAATGGCGCCGGCAGGAGTTCACATACAGTGATACTGACCCCTCTCTGGACACAGGCTCAGTGTATCTATGATAAACGTATTTACATTTAAACATTGTCGACGTTATGTTGCTGGGCAGTATAAAATGGTATAGAAACAATCATTTTACTCTGTGCATTTGTTTTAAATCATTTTGATTAATTGCTTTGTTGTGAGTGTACTTAGTTGTCATGAATAGATGCCCCGACACGACCTTCAGGTTAAGCGCCATGATTTCTACAGGTCTACCATACAAACGGTAAACAAACCATCAAAACTGAACTCATATACACCAAAACAGAACAAAAATCACCAAAATAGGAAAATAAACTTCCAAAACCGAAACAATACATCTGTAATGGAAGACTAATCGTTTGAAATGGAAACAAAACGCGCGTATCAGCTACAAGAGCGCGTGAGAACGATCGCCGAGCGTACGAAACGGCAGTCATAGCATCCCAACACGGCAGTCATAGCATCCCGAAACGGCATACAAATCGTCAAAGATGGCGGCGAGGGGGAGACGAATAGGGTTTGGTACATAATGTATTTCGTCACTATGAATCTAATCTTGAAAAGTTGATACCGAGATGTAGCGCATCAACCCCCTATTCTAAGCTTCAAACCTATGTCCAAACCTCTCAGTGCCGGGTTTGCAATTCTGCACAATGTGGTCCCTCGTTCGACCGAATAGGATTTCTTGTCAACATGCCGTGCTACTGTTTCTCTCTAGTTTTGTAAATAAAGTATTCATAGCGTCACAGTCAACATTACTATATTTTAGTGATTTAAAAAGTTTACAAAAACTTTGTTCATTCTTTGTGAATTACATATCTAAGTGATCATTTTTAAAGTGTACGAGTGCAAACTCAATCCACTGATAAGGGCAGGGATTTCTGTTTCAAGTCCACAGGTGGCCACTTCTTGAGACTTACAAGAACAAAGACGGACGCATGTTTGTACCTCAAGTTAAGCTTTATTTTTTGGTAAATGATGTAGAATGTTTGGGATTGCATGGACTCAATAGTTTGAAGTACATGGAAAAGATAAAATTGCAGAATGATAAAATCTTCCTGAGACACAATTCACAGTTGAAATTATAAGCAAGTTCATGTTTCCTTCTCTGATGAGAACGCAATGTTACCCGAGTTTTTAACTTCTTTTTACATGGCATACACTCAAACGTTGGAATTTTCGGAAGGTTCGGTATCACAGATATATCTGACAGAAATATACTATTCCAAAAAAGAAACGCATAACCCAGAAATCTGTAGCGACAATAACTCGTCCACAAATAGACTTTAAATAGTACATGAACTTTTGCATCAGTTTAGAAGAAGGTAATGTCTATACAACCAAGTGGATAATTTTAGATAACGGAGACTTTGAGCGCGATGGTGACCACGTAGCATGGTCCCGACGTCGGGTCTCCTGGCTCTCAGTCCAATCTCTCTCTACCTGTTCCGTACAGTTTGACCGCATATCCTCCGAAGTCCAGGCACCCTGGATGCTGTGCTCTCACCCGTGACAGTACGATCACGCAAATGTAGTACCCGGATGTACCGATCTTGGGCTGCAGTGGTGACTCGAGGTCTGCCTGTACGGGGACGGTCATTTGTTATACCTGTTTGGATGTAACGAGCTGCAGCAGTGATATCGTGCTCCAAGTAACATTCAGATGCCTGTCAACAGAAAATTGGTAATCTCCAGCGTGCATTCTTTCAATGGCCATGTTCCGTGTCGCAGCGTCAAGACGTGGCGTAGTGATTTGACCTTGAAACTCCTTCAAAACAGAGGCCGATTTCCGAAAGTAATCTGGTGCGTGCTCTTTGCTGCACAATTGCAACTGGAAGGTGATTTCTGTTGCATTGTGGCGATGCCTTTTTAATTCTTGTAAGATATCGCATCAAAATCAACATTTTCAAGCGATTTTGACTTGTGCAATGGTGTAAAATCATGTTATCAACACTTTCGTTACATATTTTGACGATTGTTTTAACACAATTGGTAATTAATAGATTTTTAAAAAATGCAAAATGCCTATGCGTTTCTTTTTGGGGATAGTATATATTCACTTAATGACTTCATAAAAGTAAGATGAAACTAGAAGATCTTCATCTGAGAACATGACCATACGTACAGTGGGAAGCGGTGGCATTCACACACATACTTTTTAAAACTAAGAAGAATATGTCTGACTTGCTTGACACAGATGACGACGTCGCATCTTCGAATAAAGAGGACTAAAGTTTGACATCGATTCACCAACTTCTAAACATGCCACTCAAAGAAGTTATGAATCTCTCAGGAATCTGTGAATACGAACGAGGGTTTTAAAACTATTCGTCTCCCATCGCCGCCATCTTTGACGATTTGTATGCCGTTTCGGGATGCTATGACTGCCGTGTTGGGACTGCCGTGTTGGGATGCTATGACTGCCGTTTTGTACGCTCGGCGACCATCCTCGCGCGCTCTTGTAGCTGATACGCGAGTTTTGTTTCCATTTCAAACGATTAGTCTTCCATTACAGATGGGGCGGTGGGGTAGCCTAGTGGTTAAAGCGTTGGCTCGTCACGCCGAAGACCCGGGTTCCAATTCCCACATGGGTACAATGTGTGAAGCCCATTTCTGGTGTATCCGCCGTGATGCTGCTTGAACATTGCTAAAAGCGGCGTAAAACCAAACTCAGTCAGTCAGTCAGTCCATTACAGATGTATTGTTTCGGTTTTAGAGGATATTGTTGCAGTTTTGGAAGTTTATTTTCCTATTTTGGTGATTATGTTCTGTTCTGGTGTACATGGGTTCCGTTCTTATGGTTTGTTTACCGTTTGTATGGTAGGCCTGTTTTAGGTCCACTTAATTTGATCTTAGCGTTGCTTTAAGCAATATCAGGGATACAGTTGGAGGACAATTTCCAGATGGAGGAGTAACATGTTACTTCATGTTCCCGTGTTTGTTCACTTCAACACCTGACTTGCCTTTGGATGTGTTTGTGACATGACTAGGGCAGCGGACACCTGCTAATACCCTATTTGATAATGGCTCCTAAACGCAATAATGCTTATGGTATCGTTGGAATCGTTGAACGGACCGGGAAGATCATAGAAAGGCTTTTGTTGCCTTATCTGTCCAGCACCCCTACGGTTTATAAGAGTGGCAATAGGGTGAAAGTGCAACACATGGGCAATTCATTTGCACAAAAAGCTTGACACACACCATATTCAGCTTGATTCATAAAACACTGAAGGTATCGAGACTGCTTTAAGTGTCCCCAGTCATCGGCAGGGGAATCTTTGCATCCCTATTTCCATATGCTATCACACTGGCTGGTTTTCTTAATGTCGACGTGAACGATTTCTAAACTTCTGCTGAATATATGTTGCGTATATGTAAAGTAAAAAAGGAAAATAAGGAAATTTGTCAACAGTGACGTTATCCCATATTTCTCTAGGGACCTGGAGCTGAAACATTAAGAACTTCTCACGACGTAATTATATACATTACATTACATGTCTTCTTCTCGCGACTTCGTTTGATTGTCTTGGGAGTTCCGCTGTAAAGTAAGCATCCTATCGCTGTATCTGAATACAACATATTCTGCTGATGGGGACGGGTTTCATTTTACATCACACTTTACTATAATCCTCAATTCTGGATTGAGTGTTTGAAAAACTGGCTTAATAATTCAACCAACCTACATGCGTGGTTGTGCTTCTTTGTTTTGTTTGGTATTGTAAAATAACGAGCAATAAGGAAACAGTTTAACGAATGCCAATTGGAATATAGAGCTTATAAGCTTTGAGATTTTGAAGTAACATTCGAGCTTATTTCGATTGCTTGATATTTACCGTACGTAAATACACATGGTTAATGATACACCTTATCATGGAACGTCATGCTTACAACAAACTTTAGAAATCGCTTATGAGATCATTAATGTTTGAGTGAACGTCCAGTTTACCATATAGAATAACAGCCATGTTTGTCAACATAATGATCCACGCGGCTAACACACCTCACCCAAACCCGCTGAAAACGTCAGTAATGATCGGTATACAGATCCTGCTCGGTGGATTATGTCCATGCTTGCCTGATAATGATACCATATTGTTCAGACTGGTTTATCGTATAGATACGCCATTCATGATATGATAGAGCCTATTTCTTACTTGTATCACTTTGCCCATTTATTCTTTGGGCATGGCTTGCGTGACTTATAAATATCACCAGTCAAACAAAACAATATCTATTTGACGTGGTTATTGGGACAGTAAAGTGTTCCATCATGTGGGGAACCAGCATCATCGGCGTGTGGAGCGAACACTTTAACCACTGGGCTGCACCCCCCCACCATCCCCGAGCATTCAGAAAAACAGTTTGTGGTATGAGCTTCAATCAGCATACAAACGCTGTCACATTACTGGCACTGTTTTTGTTTTCAATGACTTGTGTATTGGTTTTGGTGCTGGACATCTTTCACTTCTGGTGTATTATCAGCCGCCTTCCACACCAGTGACCACAGCAGTTTAACACTTGCATCTGGGGTTGATGGCGTAGCCTCAGCGTGGTACTTGTCGGTCACATCAGTTATTTTTCTTGGTGTACTTCAAGGATCTGTTTTTGGACCAGTCTTGTTTACACTGCTGGGCAATCTGATTATAAAACGTGGATTCGCACCTGTACATGTAACCTGACGACATCAAGGCTCAGGACACCTTCACAGACTGAACAAGCAAACACACCATTGTTTAATGTTTTCAAATATGTATGTGTTGTCCTTGATGTTGGACTGACAGTGGAACAACAGGTGAATGTTTCATGTAGAAAAGCGTTATCTCCACCTCGAGAACATCTCGTAACTGCTGAAGTAGCTGTAAGATCCAAAACACTCACGCTTGCATAAAACACCCGTGATACAGGCGCTCCACTGGCTTCTTGTTGCTCCCTGACCACAGGCAAATGGTAGCGCAAATAGGGTTGCGCATCAAAGAGAAAATGACCAGTCTTCCCATATGCGAGGAAGAGGAGTTAAATTTAAATATGCTTTCATTTACCCGTTACGCCAGAAGTGTTTCTGTAGAATAAATGTTACGAAAATTCTAACAATAACGACGACAGATAAGAATAATAATCCCCAACAGTTTAACGGTAAAATTATACAATATGATACTTGTGTTTAATTTCTGCTTATTCTTGTTCCTTCACTCCGTTGAACCGGAAGCTGGCAGGGGAAATGGCATTCTCTTCCCACAGAGGTTACTTCTGTCATATCTTCCTACGTAACCTCTGTTCTAATACGGCCATATTTCCCGGTTCTCGTAAAATCCCCTAGCGGCAAAAGATCGCAACACGAATTATCTCCCTTCTTTCTATCCAATCAGAACACGTGTTACATCTGCCGGGGACTTGTGTTGATGTTACACACAAGACGTTTAATGGCTAGCTTGTCCGTTGTCAACGAGGGCGATGGAGACGCCACTGATCCGCCATAACATGACTGAGTTCTGTCTAGAAGAAACGTTTGCGCATCGCGCAGGGGAAGAGGTTTAGTTTTCTCGAAGTATACGGAAATTACCGAGGCCTTGCGAATGATCACTTTTGAAACAACGTCGCTGATTGCACAACTTAATCTGATTGCCTCCAATCACGAGTCTTGAACGCTCACACCATGAAAGGGCCGTATTAGAACAGAGGTTACGTAGGAAGATATGACAGGAGTAACCTCTGTGGGAAGAGAATGGGTAATGGAGGCGAAAACGTTTTGACATGCCACAATTTGCGCTTAAAATGTTGAATTAAATACATTGTACGTGAGTAATTATTAAATATGAGTTTGGAAATCTGAGAGCACAACTCTGTGAGGACATGGGTGTCTACCTTTGATGATGGCGATATTTTATTTTGATATTAAAGATATATTTCGAACCGATTCGAGGGAAGCACGTTGCCAACCTTTGCTCGCTTCGCTCGCATATGGGAAGACTGGTCATTTTCTCTTTGTTGCTCAACCCTATTTGCGTTACAATTTGCCTGTGCCCTGACATACCATTGTAATGTATTGTGAACTGGCCCACACATACATGCCATCAGTTTCCTTACGATCCCTGCCTGGAAACTGAAATCTTTTGGATCTTTCAGTGTTGCCACAAAATGGAAACATATTACCAGTCCCTCACAAGTAATCCCAGTCACTAGAGCAGTTGAATTCTCTTTAACCGTTTCCACCAATATTTTTTATTTGGAATCCTTGTCTCATCGTTCTATGTACACGCCCATTGAGCAGGCCCATTGGAGGCGACCTCGTTATAAATGGTGATTATAAAGCTGTCATTTTAACAACGTATGAACATAAAAAATTAGCAAATGACCCAATGGCAAAATGACACAAAGGTAGGTGGTCAAAATGAAATCATTTATACTGTATTTGTCAAATCACACGTGTAACAACCGACTTTAGGTCACTGCAAAGTATGATACTCTTGTGTGTCAATGAATCTACGACACGACGCCTCATCAACACTTGATGACGTTAGCGTTACCATGTCTCGATAACATACTATTATATGCCCCGACGGTTGACTGGTGCTGTAGGTGTCCTGCCATGCCTGTACAGACGATGCCACAAATGATGAAAGGGCTCCTCGTACGGAGAGCATGCAGCCCATGGAAACCTTAAACGTTGATGTTTTTGAGGACATCCTGTGCCAGCCGTGCAGCCTGGGATCTAGCGTTATATATCTCACTCTCTCATTGTAAGTTGTCTGTATTCAAGTTCACACTTTCCACGGCTTTATTTCGTTCCTACGTATTACTTCAAACATAAATACGTGTACTTTCTTGTGGACGCCAGTTTAGGTTATTACCGAAGGAGTACCATGATATTAGAGTCGAGACAAAGGGGATGACACAAAAACGAAACAATCCAAAGAATATCCTGACAGAATATATATTTAAGTACCTTTCCACAGATTGCATTTAAACAGTGAGGTAATGACTAGTTGATTTCACGACGTGGCGGCGGCAAAATGAGCTTCTCATGCCGGTCCAGGTCTAACGGTTTCAATCTGTTCCATTATCCGGAATACAGATCGGAGGCGACAACATTATATAGTTGCATAACGGTAATATTGAAAACTTGAGGCGATATCACGGGCTATCTATATGGAGATGGCCACGTATCGATTTATGTTGTATACACATCCTGGTAAATTGCTTATAAACAAATTCAGGTTTTAGCGCTTTTCCTGCCAGCTCTCAAGACGCCTCGTAGCTGCAACCTCTGTCGCGCTCAGTGTCCACTGACCATGCGGGAAATGGGACATGTCGTGCTCACTGAAGCAGAGATCAAGTCATAGTCACCTGGGTTGTCTTGGTTGTACCTTGTGTCGTCACACAAACAGAGGTAAAGCAGGCGCATTGCATATCACGAGGCGGTGAGGTGAAGGTATCGGTTCCACAACCACATTCAGGAAGAATATCGGCACAAAATGTTCGCGTACAAAAGGTTCCTGCAAACACGCAGACGACACCAACACTCAAAGGAACCCGCGTTTGCAAACACCCATATCTTAATTATTTGACATAACAGTGAAATAACACGAAGATATACAATCATGCAAGAAAGACCACCAACTCTTGTATTTGCCGGCAGGTGCTTAAGGCAAACATTCCACTTACGCCAAAAGGTGTGAGGCAAATGTAATTTCGTATAATGTTTTCATAAATATAGTCGGACGTGTTTAAGAATGAGCATACAGTAAGCAGATAAATATAGTCGGACGTGTTTAAGAATGAGTATACAGTAAGCAGACGGACGTGTGAGAGGATGAGAGTATGGTAGACAGCGAGCAGACGGACGTGTCAGAGGATGAGGGTATATTAGACAGTGAGCAGAGGAACGTGTCAGAGGATGAGGGTATGGTAGACAGTGAGCAGACGGACGTGTCAGAGGATGAGGGTATGGTAGACAGCTAGTGAGCAGACGGACGTGTCAGAGGATGAGGGTATGGTAGACAGCTAGTGAGCAGACGTACGTGTCAGAGGATGAGGGTATGGTAGACAGTGAGCAGAGGAATGTGTCAGAGGATGAGGGTATGGTAGATAGTGAGCAGAGGAATGTGTCAGAGGATGAGGGTATGGTAGACAGTAAGCAGAGGAATGTGTCAGAGGATGAGTGTATGGTAGACAGTGAGCAGACGGACGTGTCAGAGGATGAGGGTATGGTAGACAGTGAGCAGACGGACGTGTCAGAGGATGAGGGTATGGTAGACAGTGAACAGACGGACGTGTCAGAGGATGAGGGTATGGTAGACAGTGAGCAGACGGACGTGTCAGAGGATGAGGGTATGGTAGACAGTGAGCAGACGGACGTGTCAGAGGATGAGGGTATGGTATGCTTTGCTTATATTACGTAAACATGCTACCCACAACTTTAGCGATATTGTGTGAAGCACGTGCTGTACATGTGCATTCCAGTATGCTTGAGCATGATGGCTTGTTTGGCTCAAAATGTTAATAATTCCCCTTGGATTCGGGTGTTGCTTAATTAATGCCCATGTGTATACATGATGACCTGAACAGTTCAGTTGAGGTACCTCAATAACACGCCCATAAACAGGTTGCAAGAACGACAGTCTGAAGGAACCCGTGCTATAAGGGATTGTCGCAAAATACCGGTGATTATGATGAGGAATTATTTTGTTTCAAATTACAAAATCTCAAAATAAGATGCGAAATCGTTTAGATTTAAAACAAATATTGCTTTCTTAATATCTTGATCAATGTATACAGATTTGTATACAGTCTGACCTATTTCATTATGCTAAGTTTTATGCCACTTTATATATTCTAACAGTAGATATAAATCTGGTAAATATATATTCCGTACTACAGAGAACATTTCCCTACAATTTTATTTCTAGGGGTTGAATTCCACTAATTTACAAATAAGGTTGGAAACTTGAAGTTTCTCCCAAGTGGTGCATACCGTCACAGAATACAGTGAAACTGAGTTAAATAATGCGTTTATGAACAACTCATTTGTGAGAGACACACATTACAGACTGAATGGTACCAGCCGCCTGACTAGGGTTCACAGGTCAGGTTCATGGTCTCCCATCTGAAGCCACACGGGGAAGTGGAAGTCCCAAGTTCAGTACCCAAGCTCCAGCTGTGACGGGGGACATTGAGCAGCGAAACAATGCTCGCATGACATCCTGTGATGAGTTAGTTCAGTCTGTTCACAAGTAGCTTTATCACCACACTGAACCCATAGAGGTGAAGCGGCACTAACCTTTACCCTTTGGTGGCGGCAACTAAATCAGCATGTGCAGGAATTAACTGTTACAATATAAGTCGAAGGTCAGTTTCTGTCTGTGCCGGGGTGCTGGACTGGCCACATACAGACCTACCGTACCATGCGTATCTATGTATCTATCTAGCCATGTAGCAGGCCTCCCGTATCGTGGATATCAAGTCATGTAGCAGGCCTCCCGTATTATGGATATCTAGTCATGTGGCAGTCCTCCCGTATTATGGATATCTAGTCATGTAGCGGGAGGCCTCCCGTATTATGGATATCTAGTCATGTAGCAGGCCTGGCAGGCCTTGTCATGAAGCAGGCCTCCCGTATTATGGATATCTAGTCATGTGGCAGGCCTCCCGTATTATGGATATCTAGTCATGTAGCAGGCATCCCGTATTATGGATATCTAGTCATGGCAGGCCTCCCATATTATGGATATCTAGCCATGTAGCAGGCATCCTGTACTATGGATGTCTAGTCATGTGGCACTCCTATCGTATTATGGATATCTAGTCATATAACATGCCTCCCGTATTATGGATATCTAGTCATGTAGCAGGCCTCCGGTATTTTCGATATCAAGTCATGTAGCAGACGTCGAGTATCGTCGATATCTAGTCATGTAGCAGGCCTCCCGTATTATGGACATATGGTCATGTAGCAGGCCTCCCGTATTATGGATATTTAGTCACGTGGGAGGCATCCCGTATATGGATATCTAGTGAGGCACTCCTCCGTATTATGGATATCTCTGGTCCTCCCGTATTATGGATAACTAGTCATGTGGCAGGCCTCCCGTATTATGGATATCTAGTCATGTGGCAGGCCTCCCTTATTATGGATATCTAGTCATGTGGCAGCAGGCCTCCGTATTATGGATATCTAGTCATGTGGCAGGCCTCCCGTATTATGGATATCTAGTCATGTAGCAGGCCTCCCGTATTATTGATATCTTGTCATGTGGCAGGCCTCCCGAATTATGGATATCTAGTCATGTAGCAGGCCTCCCGTATTATGGATATCTAGTCATGTTCAGGCCTCCCGTATTATGGACATGTAGTAATGTAGCAGACCTCCCTTACTATGGATATCTAGTAATGTGGCAGTCCTCCCGTATTATGGACATCTAGTCATGTAGCAGGCTTCCAGTATCGAGGATATCAAGTCATGTAGCAGACCTCCCTTATTATGGATATCTAGCCATGTGCAGGCCTCCGGTATTATCGATATCTAGTCATAGGGCAGGCCTCACGAATTATTGATCTCTAGTCATGTAGCAGGCCTCCCGTATTATGGATATCAGGTCATGTAGCAGGCCTCCCGTAATATGGATATCTAGTCATATAGCAGGCCTCCCGTATTATGGATATCTAGCCATGTAGCAAGCCTCCCGTATTATGGATATCTAGTCATCTAGCAAGCCTCCCGTATTTTTGGTAACTAGTCAAGTGGCAGTCTTCCCGTATTATGGATATCTAGTCATGCGACAGGCCTCCCGTATTTTGGATATCTAGTCAAGTGGCAGGAATCCATTATCGTGGATATCTATTCATGTAGCAGGCCTCCCATATTATTTATATTTAGCCATGTGGAGACCTCCCGTACTATGGATATCTGACCATGTAGTAAGACTCCCATATTATGGATATCTAGTCATGAGGCAGGCCTCTCGAATTATTGATCTCTAGTCATGCTTCAGGCCTCCAGCATTATGGATATCTAGTCATTTAGCATGCCTCCAATATTATTTATATCTAGCCATGTTGAGAACTCCCGTACTATTGATATCTAGCCCTGTAGCAAGCCTCCCGTATTATGGATATCTAGTCATCTAGCAAGCCTCCCGTATTATGGATATCTAGTCATGTGGCAGTCTTCCCGTATTATGGATATCTAGTCATGTGGCAGGCCTCCCGTATTATGGATATCTAGTCATTTGGCAGTCTTCCCGTATTATGGATATCTAGTAGTGTGGCAGGACTCACGTTTAATGGATTTCTAGTGATGTAGCAGGCCTCCCTTATTATGCATACCTACCCATGTGCAGGCCTCGCGTATTATGGATATCTAGTCATGTGCAGGCCTCCCGTATGATGGACATCTGGTCATGTAGTCGGCCTCCCGTATTATGGATATCTACCCATGTAGCAGACCTACCGTGTTATGGATATCTAGTCATGTAGCAGGCCTCGAGTATCGTGCATATCTAGTCATGTAGCAGGCCTCCCTTATTATGCATGCTTACCCATGTGCAAGCCTCCCGTATTATGGATATCTAACCATGTAGCAGGCCTCCCGTAATATGGATATCTAGTCATATAACAGGCATCCCGTATAGTGGATATCTAGTCATGAAGCAGTCCTCCTGTAATATGGATATCTAGTCATGTGGTAAGCCTCCCGTATTATGGATATCTAGTCATGTAGCAGGCATCCCGTATTATGGACAACTAGTCATGTAGCAGGCATCCAGTAATATGGATATCTAGTCATGTGGTAAGCCTCCCGTATTATGGATATCTAGTCATGTAGCAGGCATCCCGTATTATGGACAACTAGTCATGTAGCAGGCATCCAGTATCGTGGATATCTAGTCATGTCGCAGGCCTCCCGTATTATGGATATCTAGCCATGTGCAGACCTCCGGTATTATAGATATCTATTCATATGGTAGGTCTCCCGTATTATGGATATCTATTAATGTGGCAGGCCTCCCGTATTAAGGATATCTAGTCATGTAGTAGGCCTCCCGTATTATGGATATCTAGCCATGTAGCAGGCCTCCCGTATTATGGATATCTATTCATATGGCAGGCCTCCCGTATTATGGATATCTATTCATATGGCAGGCCTCCCGTATTATGGATATCTATTAATGTGGCAGGCCTCCCGTATTAAGGATATCTAGTCATGTAGTAGGCCTCCCGTAATATGGATATCTAGTCATCTAGCAAGCCTTCCGTATTATGGATATCTAGTCATGTGGCAGTCTTCACGTATTATGGATATCTAGTCATGTGGCACGAAACCAGTATAGTAGATATCTAGTCATGTAGCAGGCCTCCCATATTATTTATACCTACCCATGTGGAGACCTCCTGTACTATGGATATCTAGCCATATAGGAAGCCTCCCTTATTATGGATATCTACTCATGAGGCAGGCCTCGCGAATTATTGATCTCTAGTCATCTAGCAGGCCTCCCGTATTATGGATATCTAGTCATGTAACAGGCCTCCCATATTATTTATATCTAGCCATGTGAAGACCTCCCGTACTACTGATATCTAGCCATGTAGCAAACCCCCCGAATTATTGATCTCTAGTCATGTAGCAGTCCTCCCGTATTATGGATATCTAGTCATGTCTCAGGCCTCCCGTATTATGGATATCTAGCCATGTAGCCAGCCTCCCGTATTGTGGATATCTTGTCATCTAGCAAGCCTCCCGTATTATGGATATCAAGGCATGTGGCAGTCTTCCCGTATTATGGATATCTAGTCATATGGCAGGCCTACCGTATTATGAATATCTACTCATATGGCAGACCTCACGAATTATGGATATCTAATCATTTGGAAGTCCTCCCGTATTATGGATATCTAGTCATGTGGCAGGCCTCCCGTATTATGTATATCTAGCCATGTAGCAAGCCTCCCGTATTATGGATATCTAGTCATGTAGCAGGCCTCCCGTATTATGGACATCTAGTCATGTAGCAGGCTTCCGGTATCGTGGATATCTACTCATATAGCTGGCCTCCCTTATTATGGATACTTACCCATGTGCAGGGCTCCGGTATTATGGATATCCAGTCATGTGGTAGTCCTTCCGTATTATGGATATTGTATCATATGGCAGGCCTCCCGTATTATGGATATCTAGCCATGTAGCAGGCTTCCCGTATTAAGGATATCTAGTAATATAACAGGCATCCCGTATAGTGGATATCTAGTCATGTAGCAGTCCTTCTGTAATATGGATATCTAGTCATGTGGCAAGCCTCCTGTATTATGGATATCTAGCCATGTAGCAGGCTTCCCGTATTATGGATATCTAGTAATATAACAGGCATTCCGTATAGTGGATATCTAGTCATGTAGCAGTCCTTCTGTAATATGGATATCTCGTCATGTGGCAAGCCTCCCGTATTATGGATATCTAGTCATGTAGCAGGCATCCCGTATTATTGACAACTAGTCATGTAGCAGGCTTCGAGTATCGTGGATATCTAGTCATGTGCAGACCTCCGGTATTATGGATATCTATTCATGGGGCAGGCCTCCCGTATTATGGATATCTTGTCATATGGCAGGCCTCCCGTATTATGGATATCTAGCCATGTAGCAGGCCTACCGTGTTATGGATATCTAGTCATGTAGCAGGCCTCCCGTATTATGGACATCTAGTCATGTAGCAGACCTCCCGTGTTATGGATATCTAGTCATGTAGCAGGCCTCCCGTATTATGGACATCTAGTCATGTAGCAGGCTTCCAGTATCGTGGATATCTAGTCATATAGCTGGCCTCCCTTATTATGGATACTTACCCATGTGCAGGGCTCCGGTATTATGGATATCCAGTCATGTGGCAGTCCTCCCGTATTATGGATATTTTATCATATGGCAGGCCTCCCGTATTATGGATATCTAGCCATGTAGCAGGCTCCCCCGTATTATGGATATCTAGTAATATAACAGGCATCCCGTATAGTGGATATCTAGTCATGTAGCATTCCTTCTGTAATATGGATATCTCGTCATGTGGCAAGCCTCCCGTATTATGGATATCTAGACATGTAGCAGGCCTCCCGTATTATGGACAACTAGTCATGTAGCAGGCTTCGAGTATCGTGGATATCTAGTCATGTGCAGACCTCGG